CAGGTTAGTAAAAGGTTAGGTAGGACTGTCAGGTTACCTGACTGTCCTAACTAACAGTAACCAGCTGTCATTCAGCTGGTATGATGTCCTGCTCTTCACACATGTGCAATCCAGGTTTTGCATTAAAGGTTCTCATCTGTTGGAAACGCCTGTAGCTTATACAGGACACTGACAGGCCACAGCCTATGATCACAACCTGGAGGACAATATTAACACCTGTAGATATAACTCATTACGCGTTACACAACGCATTTTCCTACAGTTTGTAGCGGAATGGCATAATATTCTCATAATATTTATCCCTCCTATCGATTCTGTCTTTGTTTTATTTTGCTGTTTTGTTCATCCCTTTTTATCTATTTTTTTTGGTCAAACTTTCATTTACCTCTATTTTTTAATACAACAACATCGTCATAATTTTAAATCTATTTTATCTAGTTTTTTAATCTAGTTTTTAATTTCACTCTAATTACTATTACTGCTATAATAGCTTTTAAATCAATCCATCACATTTTCATTTTCTCATATGCACTGGTGGCACTGGACAAAACACATGCCACACAGAGCAAACACAGAGCAAACAGGAAACGGTAAAACATCAGTAGAATAACACAACAACAAGAAACCATTTTAGGACATACTCTATCTCTATATAACATAAAGCAATAAAACACAGCCAGCAACACTGACCACATGCAGACATGTGAAGCAGCAATAAACAGTAGATATAGAAGATATAAATAACATACAATAATCATTATGTTGATCTTGAGTTTAAGGACATTACTATAGAAAAACAAATTGTTAATAGCTAGCTAAAAGTAACTCATGGTTTAGCTAAAAACAACCTCTGGCTGAATCAGTTAGCTAAAAGTAACCTGGGACTGAAATAGTTAGCTCAAACTAATTTATATTTCAGCTTAAAGTAACCTATGGCTGAAATACTTAACCAAAAGTAACTTATGATTGAAATAGTTTAGTTAAAGGCAACTTATGGTTGTAATAGTTAGCTAAAAGAACTTGTCTCGTCGTCTCCCGCTTATCCGGATCCGGGTCGCGGGAGCAAAGCCTCAGCAAAGAGGTCCAGACAGCCCTCTCCCCGGCCACTTCCACCAGTTCCTCCGGGAGAATCCCGAGGCGTTCCAAGGCCAGCCGAGAGATATAATCCCTCCAGCTTGTCCTTGGTCGGCCTCGAGGTCTCCTCCCAGTGGGACATGCCCGAAACACCTCCCCGGGGAGGCGTCCAGGAGGCATCCTCACTAGATGCCCGAACCACCTCAACTGGCTCCTCTCGACATGGAGGAGCAGCGGCTCTACTCCGAGTCCCTCCCGGGTGACCGAGCTCCTCACCCTATCTCTAAGGCTGAGTCTGGCCACCCTGCGGAGGAAACTAATTTCGGCCGGTCCATAAAAGTTATGAACAGAACCGGTGACAAAGGGCAGCCCTGGCGGAGTCCAACCCTCACCGGGAACAGGTCCGACTTACTGCCGGCTATGCGAACCAGACTCACACTCCTTTGGTACAGGGATTTAATGGCCACCAACAAGGGGCCATCCACCTCATACTCCCGGAGTGCCCCCCACAGGGAGCCCCTGGGAACACGGTCGTAAGCCTTCTCCAAATCCACAAAACACATGTGGACTGGATTGGCAAACTCCCATGCTCCCTCCAGCACCCTAGCGAGGTCGGACGAAAACCACATTGCTCCTCCTCGATCTGAGGTTCAACTATCGACCGGACCCTCTTTTCCAGTACCCTGGCATAGACCTTACCAGGGAGGCTGAGGAGTGTAATTCCACGGTAGTTGGAACACACCCTCTGGTCACCCTTCTTAAAGATGGGGACCACCACCCCGGTTTGCCACTCCAAAGGCACTGCCCCCGATGTCCACGCAATGTTGCAGAGGCGTGTCAACCAAGACAGCCCTACCACATCCAGAGCCTTGAGATACCCAGGGCGGATCTCATCAACCCCCGGGGCTCTGCCAACGCGCAGTTGTTTCACTACCTCGGCGACTTCTGCCCCGGAGATTCGATCATCCATCCCCAGGTCTCTTGGCTCTGTTTCCTCCACGGAATACGTGTTGGTGGGATTGAGGAGCTCCTCAAAAGTATGTCTCTTTTTTCCACCGTCCTATATATCTCAGTTGACGTCAGCAGCTCCCCGCCCCCACTGTAAACATGGTGGTACTGAGTTGCCTTCCCTCCCTGAGCCGGTTTGCCAGAACCTTTTTGGACCGATCGATAGTCTTCCTCCATTGTCTCACCGAACTCCCCCACGTCCGAGTTTTTTGCCTCAGCAACTGCCGCAGCTGCACTCCGCTTGGCCCGCCGGTACCAGTCAGCTGTCTAGATTCAGGCCCCAACACCCTTGTGGCCTTCTTCAGCCTGACGTCCTCCCCCCCTGTGTCCACCAGCGGGTACGGGGTTACCGCCACGACCGGCCCCAGCTACCTTGCAGCCGCAGCTTGCAACAGCCGCCTCAACAATAGCAGAGCGGAACAAGGCCCATTTCGGAATTCTCTCCCATCTCCTCGGACGCGTCGCAAACTTCCGAGGTGTGCGTTGAAAATCATCTGACGGGTTCTTCCGCCAGGTTTTCCAGCAGACCCTCCAACTGTGTGTGCTCAGGTCATCTGGCCTCTCTCCCGCGCACGTACTATCACAACTATGGGCTGTGGTTACACCTCTGCTCCTCTCTTCACTCGAGTGTCCAAAACATGCGGCCGCAGGTCTGATGATATGACTACAAAGTCGATCATAGACCGCAAAGCAGGTGTCTCTGGTGCCAAGTGCACCTGTGGACATCCTTATGTTTGAACATGGTGTTAGTTTAGGCCAAGCTGTGACTCGACACAGAAGTCCAATACTGAACGCCGCTCGTGTTAGATCGGGCAGGCCGTCCTCCCCACCACACCCTTCCAGGTCACGCTGTCATTGTCCACGTGAGCGGTTGAAGTCTCCCAGTAGGACAATGGAGTCCCCTTTCGGGCACTTTCCAGCACCTGTCCCAAGGACTCCAAAAAGGCGGGTAGTCTGAACTGCTGTTCGGCGCATAAGCACCGACACTAGTCAGAACCCGATCCCCGACCCGAAGGCGCAGGGACGCAACCCTTTCGTCCACCGGGGTAAACTCCAACATACAGGTAGAGAGCCTGGGGGACACCAAAAAGCCCACCCCGGCCCTCCGCCTCTCACCCGGAGCAACTCCAGCAAAGAGGAGAGACCAGCCCCTCTCAAGGACTTGGGTTCCGGAGCCGACGCTATGTGTCGAGGTGAGGCCGACTATATCTAGCCGGTATTGCTCAACCTCTTCCACAAGCTCCCGCTCCTTCCCCGCCAGAGAGGTGACGTTCCATGTTCCAAAAAACAGTTTCCGTAACCGAGGATCGGACCGCCAAGGCCCCCGCCTTGGTCTGCCGCCCAATCCACAATGCACCGGATCCCACTGACTCTTCCTGCAGGTGGTGAGCCCACTGGGAGACGAACCCATGTAGCCGGTTCGGGCTGGGCCCGGCCGGGCCCCATGGGTCAAGGCCCGGCCACCAGGTGCTCGTCCAGGGGCCCCAACCCCAGGCCTGGCTCCAGGGCGGGGCCCCGGTGTCCCTCCGGGCCGGGTACTCGGGTTCTTGATATTACTCATCATTAGGATCTTTTGAACCGTTCTTCGTCTGGCCCTTCACCTAGGACCAATCTGCCTTGGGAGACCCTACAAGGGGCAAAATGCCCCCGACAACATAGCTCCTAGGGTCATTAGGGCTCTCAAACTCCTCCACCACGGTAAGGTGATGGTTCAAGGAGGAGTAAAAGAACTCTATGGTTGAAATAGTTAGCTAAAAGTAATCTATGGTTGAATTAGCTTAATTTAAAGTTACATTGGACTGAAATAGTTAGCTCAAGTAACTTATGTTAGTAATAGTTAGCTAACAATAAATTATAAGTTAGCTAAAAGTAACCTCTGTCTGAAATAGTTAGCTAAAAGTAACAAGGTTGTAATAGTTAGCTAATAGTAACTTAAGGTTGTAATAATTAAAACCTACCTGCCACCGGTCTCCGCCATCCTCATCGGTGTCAGGCCCGGGGGTAGCTGAGGGTGGTGTAGTTGAGCAGGTGGGAGTCGCAGGGCTGTTGCTCTCTGCCTCCATTTCATATTGTTCTCAACTGATCTGACGTCAGTTGCCGCCGCCGCGTTACCGTCCTCCTCCTCTTCGACGTTAGCATCGTCCTCTCCAGGCTCTTTGCTAATGCTAGCAAGCGGACTAATGAAAAAAATGAGTCTGATAGTTTGTTTTACTGAATTTCAGTTTCTCTGGTTTCCGTCTTTCTCTTTGCTGCTCCAACGTTTGTTTTACATAATGTTTTCAAGAAGTGTCTGTGTCACCCGGCCGGTCGGCTTGGGCGCTAAAGTCCCACGGTCACTACCTGACCTGACCTCTGACCTGACCTCTGACCTGACACGTCATCATCATGATACAAACACACCAATAATATCTTTTTTTTTTCTTTTTTTCAAATAAATTCTGCAATCACTGCTTTGTAGTTAAACACACACACACTTAATTAACTTATATATTATATATTATATGATTTAATAAAACATATATATAAACATAGTTAATTTGTATATGTATGTTGTTTTAATAAACTTGCATAAATAACTTAAATGTTTATTTAATTCAATATATTGTCAATATATATGGTTACAATACCATATCAAAATTAATAATATAGATATTTTTGATATATGTACATATACAAATTTCACTATTGGTTTTTCATATGTGTTATAAACATATATCTCCATATATCCAGAGGATGTATATATATATATATAACATAGGTGACATATACGGCAACATCACATGCTGTCTTGTGTGCAGTTATAAAAAGGCTGACATTGTTTGGACTGTAACTGGACTCCTGAGCTGCTCAGATCCGACGCAACTATTCTTAGATCTTTTGTTGTGCTGACGGTCTGTGTCTGCCATCACACTGACGACATGTGGAAGGTCAAACGTGAGTGTCCCATCGTTTTCACTGCATGCCTCTGTGTTTTTCACTCAGGACACTAACTCACTGTCGTAGTTTCTTACATCTTACTGATTAAAAGTTTGTTCTGCCCAGATACAGTGGCTGTCTGTGAATACAAGAATCCTCCATGCTAAAAAATCTTATACTGTATCATGTGGTTCATGTACTTAGTGTCTCTTTACTTAACTTTACTTTAAACAAGATAAACAGCAATCTTTACATGTGTTCAATTTGTGGAGTTTTTGATATGGAGTTTAACCTGCAACAAACAAACATAATAATATATGGATCTTCAGTGATAATTAACACCTGTATGATTAGAAAAGACTGGGAGGATGTGTCGGTTGAATAATTCCTTTGAAGGCAAATATCTTAACATTTTAATCAATTTTAATCAAAACTTTTCATTTTCACTGCTAGATACTAAATTATCTGCATAATTTGTTTCTAAACGTCTTTTTTGGGGTTGACTCATTGATTCATCAGAAAAATTGATTTATTAAACAATCTGACATTTTATATTATGTGTATAAAACAAAATTGACAATAAAACAAAAATTGACTCATGATATGTTTACCATTTTGCTTTTGTTGCAGCTCCAGTTGTGTTTCCTAAGGAGACGAGGTACCGGCCGATTTTAGAGGTAATGATACAGCGACAGTCTGAGTTCAGTTAAAACTGAAGCTGAACTGAGCGTCAGTCAGTGTAACACGAAACGAAATAACCGTTCAGTCTCAATCCTACCAGATATTTTCACCCTCTAACTTAGAAATGCCTTGCTTTCTTTACTGTATTATGTCAATGGTAATCATAAAAACTGTAGTCTAGTGTTGTTCTCAGTTTTGCCAGTTGCGCAACTTGTTACTTTTGAGTACACTACAGTCAGTATTTAGTTCTGTATCACTTTGAATATTAAAGTACAAATCAAAAGTGAGTTAGCTGCCTTTGTAGATTAAAATCCAGACAAGGGTAAAAAGATACCAGGCTGACATTGGTATGATGTATCACAGCTACACCTAATACAACTGATAATGGGTGTGTTAGATTTACAGTAGGTGTGCGAATGATCCAGCATTGACAATAATCAATAGCACTGGTGGCGCCAAGGAGGTTTGGGGTCCTAAATCAAATTTTCCTTCAGGCCCCATAAAGGACTGGGCCGGTCCTGGAGTTAAACATTGTTGAGACCTTGTGGCATCATTCTTACTAACAGCTCTTTCATGTGCGTCCAGAGTTTGGTTCCCCCCGACCCCATGTCCCAGTTCAACCTGAGGAGGGGTTCCCCTGAGGAGGAGTTCCCCGACCTTTGCAGGAACTCTACCTGGATGGGACGGATCCTCACACCGGCCATGTACCGCCGACAGTTCGACCGCTGCACCCACAGTGGGGTCATCTTTGATGATGTCATCCGCCCGGGCCTGGAGGAACCAGGTGATGTCACTGTGATGTCAGCCTGTACAGATGTTTTCAATATAAGGTTATATAAGGTTTTCTGCTCTATTGAACTTGTTTCTCAGCTGATTATATGATCATAATGTTGTTTTTGCAAACATCACTGATGTAAACATGAATAACATTAACTGTTGTTGAGTATTACTCTGTTTATTTACCTGTGGTTGTTCCATGTTTCAGATTTGTTAATGGAGCATTTGCATAAATTTTAGATAAAGTTTTTGAGGAAATATGAAACTACATTGGAAAAATATTTTTACAGATTTCAGGCTCCTGTTCAGAGTCCTGTAAATGTGTTGGACTGCAGTTCCTCTTGTGGCCACTAGATGGCTGTCTGAAATAAACCTGATTGTACTTGAGTAAATGGGTAAAAAACTCGCTCTAGATTCACAAAGTTGATATATTTTTCCTAGATTTGGGAGGATTTGGAAGGATTGTCAGTGTTGGTCTGTAAATTTGTCCATCAGTCTGTAAAGTTGTGTGTATAAAGGTGAATGTTCAGGCCCTGTATCTGTGGGATGTGTTGCGGGCGACGCTCAGTCCTACATCCTGTTCTGTGACTTCTTCGACCGAGTCATCGAGGCGTACCACCAACACAAGGTCACCAGCCAGACGCCAGAGAGCGACTTCAACTACGATAACCTGAAGGTACCTGGTTCCTGGTTGCAGCACGACAAAAAATGTCTCACATGAACGAGGTCCGGAGAAACCCTAGTTGATCACCTCTCACTGAGACAATTGTTGCTCTGATTGACTTCAATCGTTTGCAACAGGCTGCAACCACAAGCCTCCAGAAAACTATTTACTGGAGTTTCAAATGTACAAGTGCGGCAATACATTGTTTAACATGGATGGGATTTCCCAAAGAGTGATGGAAATGACCACCTTTGTGCATCATTAGGTCAACTTCAACCTCAGTGAACCTCTCCAATATAATGATATTCTAGCATTGACAAGAGGTATTTTGAAGGCACCACACTGATTGTATGATTGTGTACCTACATTTATACAAGCCTACATTACATTCACACTAGAATCATACAAACAATACAGAAAAACATAAGTTCAAAATATTAGTTTCACATATTCCACAGTCAGATTCAAGCAAAGCACCGGCAGCAGTTACATGATGAAGGTGGTTTTAAGACTCTATTAAGACCTTAAATCATTAACTTTGCACGTTATCATGTAGTCAATGGCAAGATCACAAGAGTCTGAAGGGAAATGGCAGAAAAAGACTGCTGGTGTTCAAGGGTAGCAACATGTTAGCTTCAAACACATGCTAACACTGCAAAATGTTTACAGTGATCTGACTGATCTATCGAAGCTTGATTTGTCTGTGTTTGTAGGGGGGTGATGACTTTGACCGGTCATACGCCGTACGCTGCGAGGTGAGTGTTGTCCGAGGTGTTGAAGACTTCAGCTTCCCGACACACTGCAGCCGAGGAGAGCGCAGACAGCTCCTCATGCTGGCCAGGAGAGGTACTGCATGTCTGTGTTTCAGTGGATTTGATTCTCAACAACCTGATTGTGTTGCAGCAGCTTCAGACGGGGTTTGGAGTCATTGACGTCATTGACTCCTCCTCTCTTTCTCAGCTCTGCAGCGACTGGAGGAGGAGGAGCTGCCGGGTCGACTCCTCTTACTAGAGGAGATGAACCAGGAACAGCAGAAGGAGCTGAAGCTGAACACTCCGTCTTCCTCCCAGCTCCGAATCGGCATAGCCCGTGACTGGCCGGATGCCCGGGCCATCTGGTCAGTTCGCAACAGTCTGCAATAGTCTGGTTTGTTGGTAGAAGAGGTCAGCTCTACTGTAGGGTTGGTGGTTTGATTCCCCACATCCACATGTCCATGTTAAACTAGGGAAAGATTTAGGCACTTTGGATAAAAGCATCTCGCACATTCATCACATACATTCACCTGGGAGACCAGTGATTCAAATCCTTGTGCAAGATGCCGAATGTCACGTGTATTGTCCCATGATTCCTTTTTGCAGGGTGAGTAAAGATGGCAGCCTCGTGGTCTGGGTCAACATGGAAGACCACCTCAGACTGGTGTCTACACGAGAGGACGCCAACATCGCTGAGGCATTGAAATGCATCTGCATCAACCTGCAGAAGGTCAGCGATGGGTCTGATTCTCAGGGACATTCAGTTTCTCATTGAAACTGAAGCTTCTTAATCAAAATAACCATACATAAAATCATGCAGATTTACAATGATGCCGAACCACAATCGAAAACTGTGTGTTTCCAGCTGGAGGTGTACTACAGAGAGCTCCGACACCCGTTCATCTGGAAGCAGCAGCTGGGATGGGTGACGAGCTCTCCGGCCGACGTGGGGACGGGTCTGAGGGTTAGTGTCCACCTCAAACTGCAACACCTTCCCAAACACAGACGCCTCGAGGACGTCCTGCAGAGGCTGAGGATCCGCATGGACAAATCAGGTGCTGGGAGAAAATTTTTTACAGTTTTATGAATTGCAATACCCTTGCGGCCCACCAGTGGGCCCCAGCGCAGACGTAGGGAATCAGTATTTTCTGAGGGAACACCTGAAATGCAGCAGCTTGAGCTCCTACTCTTTTCACGCTGTTGCTCCTGACTGTGTTCTTAATGTGCTGTGATGACTCTCTGCTACTTATTGAACCACAGACCCATTTTGGGAGAGTCTCCTACTGGATGTGAGATCGACAACAGCAGTTAAAGCTGCATTTGTTGTATGAGATATGTTATATTAGTAAAGTTAAATGTAACGTATATAAGGAGGAGGGTCGATGCTTCGCTGCATAGAAACATAGAAACACTGACTCTCCCAGATGATGTGACTATAGCTGAAACGTTTCCCAAGCAAAAGTCTGAGGCCAAAATTCCATTCACTTAAATGGGAAGGTTGACGTTTGTTTCCCTAAAAGTTCAAGTTCAACAGAAGTCAACAGCTCTACCTTAATATTTCCCAGAATCCTCTGCGCTGTACCTTGTGAGCAATGTGGCGACCTTCGGCCTGAGCGAGGTGGTGCTGACCCAGCTGGTGGTGGACGGGGTCAAGCTTCTCATTGCCATGGAGAAGAGGCTGGAGGTCAACAGAGACGTCGACGAGCTCGTTCCTACACAGAAGTAGATCTGGATGATGATTGGCTGGAACGAGTGGAGAAACAGATGGACTGACCAATAAGATGGAAGTGTGTAACTCGGTGCTGCGACCAGAAACCAACAGCTTCCAGCTACAGAACAGAATCTCTTCTTCTAACAAATGCTCATCCAGCCTGTTGAGGATTTTTGTGATTATATGATCATTAATAAATCATTCAAAACATACTTACAGGAGTTGTGTTTTTTTAGGGTACAGGGTGTAGGGTAGAGTTGTAGTTACTGACTGTGACCACTGGAGGGAAGTGATCATGATAGTTTCTCTGGTTATCATTTGAAAACAAAAGCTGTTAATCAATAATCATTAATAATGAAAACATTAAAACAGCAGCTGAGTGTTTGACTTGATAACAGCATGTGAACTTTAGTCTCTCACCACACACACACACACACACACACACACACACACACACACACACACACACACACACACACACACACACACACACACACACACACAGGGACTTGATGGTTTTATTTTCTTTCTGTCGTTTCATTGGGTCCTATAAACACCTATAAGAAAGCAGAAAAAGCAGTTTACTCTTCAACACATTCAAATCAATGAGCCTCAGACAGAAATCACATCAGAAATTTGCTATCAACATTGTACAAATGGCTGCCATTCACCATACTGAGACCAACAGAGATGTCTAAAAAACAAACACTGGTTCATGAGGTTGTAAATTAAGTGTTAAAATGACTCACAGAGAAACTGACCTTGCTAACACAAGCTGGTATCTAGACATGGGAGGTTGCAAATCAGGTCTTGCTGGATTCCTTGACATGGTAGAGGGAATCGTAAATAGAAGAGGAATTAATGTTTATGCATTTCTTGGGAGAGTTGAATTCAGGCGTGAACCCATGTTTTGAATGGAGCCTTTGTCTTTTTATTGGGAGCCAAGCTTGGATACGGGTCTCTATCCAAGTATATGGACTTTGGTTCAAGAGTTTATTTGCTTTTGCTGTGAGACACAATGACTCACCTGGTATTGTCAAAACTGTAAACAACAACAAGGAAATATCTGGTCCATCCCCTTCCTATCCTGCTTCCATCACAGCTGACTCATTACAGGAAGAAGCTCAGGGCGTTTTGGGACGTCTTCGGCAACTCTTTGGACTGTTGTGTAAGTTTTCTTTGTTTGATACGTTCAGTTTTTCTTTAGTGGCTTCAGTCTGTGTTTCTTGCTGCATAATGTCAGTTGTAGTTGTTCAGTTGTTATTTAATTAGTAACAGTAATTTTGATACTGCACCAAATAATAAGAATTACTGCTACTTCCAGTGATCATATTTTCTCTGTGAGTCTCTGTCACTGTAACAGTCCAGTTCCCTCCACATTAATATGAAGCGTGAATGTTTTATGTTGAAGACACCACTGCTGGTTAACAGCAGTCATCACTACAATTCTAATTGTCCAACCCTGTGTTAGTGTTCCAGTTTCTGTGACGATCTGTCCGATCAATATCTGGAATATTTTTATCTAAATTGGATTAATCCCTACAAGTGCATCCAAGATTGTGATTGTTTTCTCAAGGAATTAAAGTAAAATTTTGTATTATTGGCGGAGCTGCTGCCGACAGTGTCGACAGTGACGACCTTCAGAGTAAAGAGAATAGTTTGGGTGTTGAGGTTTGTTAGTTTTCAGATTTCTCAGTGTGTCAGAGTCGGAGCTGCTGCGGGTTAAATATTAATCATGACAAAGTCAGATAAAGATCTTGCAGCTGATCTTTGAGCTGTAAGTTCACACTGGTTCATGTGTTAATGTGTTTCAGTGTGACAGCGGCCTGCATACTGAGGACTGATGAAGGACAGGAAGCAGAGGATTTCAGCACATGGTTTTCTACACAGACCTGGTCTAGAGTGAAGAAGTCCATGGGAAGAAGCTGAGTAAGTAGACCTTTGGTGGTTCATTACAGTTTCTTGATGTTTCCATCACAGACTAGCTGCTCTTTGTTCGGTGGTGTGTTGATGACTTAGAGTACATCAGTCACAGTGTCAAGTCAAATGATCTCCTCCATCTCTCCGCAGTCGTCAAACCCACAGACCGAACGCAGCGATGTCAGAGGAGTCAAGTGACACTACAGCCTGTCAGCTGTCTGTTGTAAGTAACACTAATGTCTGACTGTCTTGTGTAAAGTTGGAGAGCAGGTGACTCCAGGTAGAGAGAGGACAGGAAGTTTTTAATCTTACACACAATAGAGCAAGTCTGACTCACAGTCAGAGCAGGAGCCCTATTGTTTTCAGATTTTCCATTCGTCTGTCTCATTCACATGGACACAATATCTCTGTAACGCCTTGATGGAACTTCTTCAAATTTGGCACAAACATTCACTAGGACTCAAGGGTGAAGTCATTAGATTTTGGTGGTCAAAGGTCAAAGGTCAAGGCCAAGGTGACCTCAGAAAATATGGTTTTGGCCTTGTGAACACAATATCTCAAGAACTCCTCAAGGGAATCCATTCAAATTTGGCACAAATGTCCACTGCGGCTCAAGGACGAACTGATTAGATTTAGGTGCAGACAGCAATTATGGCAAAAAATTCAAACAAATTTTATATGATTCTGGATAAACAGGGATATAATCTGAAACTAGTGTGAGGAGGTAATTCTAGCTTGTCATTAAAAGTAATGATAGGATTAATTCCTCAACTTTAAGCCTTTATTAAGATATTAGTCATGTAAAGACCATGTCCTCCTCTCCAAAGGAAAACACACTGTACACAGATTCAGAGATGCGTACAACGCAAGAAGAGAGAAGTTTCAGTGATATATTTAAACTGTCAGGAACATCAGCACGAGTTTTAAGTATTAACATCAGCTCATTGCAGCAGAGGAACCGACCAGAACAGGAAATACCTGCTGGTAACAGGATGACTGTTGACATGCAATTATAAATAAAACATTATCCATCAGGGATGTTATGGCACTAAATATTGAGTCACACACCCACTGTTGTGTCCACATAAAAGATCAATATCAGCTCCAGCACCAATCCAATGCATCCGAAAGGCACATCATTGAAGGTTCTGTAAATGACTGTCACTGCCACTTGATGTCGCACCAGACCACCAGCTTCTCAGACCAAAACTAATGCTTTGTTGGCCACAACCTCACGGCTCATCCTCCAAGTTATCAGTCAGCAAGGTGTTACAAAGCCTAGTGAAAAAAGTCCACTAAACAAACACCAAGAAGCACATCGGAACAAAGTTTCCCTGTGACCATGAGAGCCAACCAAAACACGATCCAAACACAACCATTAGCCCACGCTAGCATTGCCATGATATGCTCCACAGCGATGCTGATAGTTAGCCAGCTAGCTTACGAGTCCAGCCAACCTTACGCAGCTTGTAGGGTTCTCCTCTCAGTAAATCCAGGTCAGTAGAGGCTCCATGGTTGGACTGGGAAAGAAATTCAGCCTTGGATTGATCCGCTAGGACCGGTCGCATGAATGACACTGACAGAGCCAGTAACGACACTGGTAAAAAAACTTTAAAAACTACGAGACCAGATATCAAAGCAAATACCAGATAAACTACAGACACAGAGGGGGTGTGAGTTTGTTCTCTGCTCAGGACAGAATTACTTCAATATCTCCTTACATAGAAAACAGTTGTTTGCTGCTGTATTATTATTTATCTAATTTATGGAACCTTTAAAGGTATTGATGAAAATATAAACCAGATTTTAACTGATAAAAGTGATTGAGAAGGTGGATTTAAAAAAATTAATTAATAAAAAAAAAACTACACATGATGAATCATGATAGTATGAACCTTTCATTCTTGTTGACAGAGTGTGTTATTGAACTGTAAAAATCCTCTCATTTTATTAGGGAGCAAAGATGGAGAAGTCTGTGAAGAAGCAGCTGAAGGATCGTTTGCAGGATTTGAGACACTGTGAACTGGAAGAGTTCCAGTGGTACCTGCGGAATGCTGAGGAACTGGATGGTTTTCCAGCCATCAAAATGTGCAAGCTGGACAATGCAAATTACCTGAAAATAGTAGATGAGATGGTCGGCATGTACACTAAAGATGTTATGAAGGTGGCAAATTTGATTTTAAAGAAAATGAAGGAAGGTAAGTCAAAGGAAGAGAAAAACATGACATACATAGCACATTACACAGAAACAACAATGTCAAATACATTTATAAACATCTGAAATGCATTCACTGCTTAAGCTGTATCTGTTTCAGTTTACCTTTGGTAAACTTCTTGGCTTTGTCACTGTGTTGAGAGTTCACCTTGGTCAGATCACGAGCGCGTGGAGAAGGCAGACAAATGGGCTGCCACAAGGCTCAGTTCTAGCTCCAACTCTGTTCAACCTCTACACAAATGACCTACCCACCACCAAATCTCGCAAATTCATCTATGCAGATGACATCTGTCTGGCATTTCAAGCACCAGATTTTGATCAACTGGAACGGGTGCTCACTGAAGACCTTGCCAAACTGGACCAGTTCTGCAAAACCTGGCGCCTAAAGCCAAGCCCAGCAAAAACTGTATCCAGTGTATTCCATCTCCACAATGCAAAAGCTGCCAGACAACTAAACATCTACCTGGGCAGACTCAAGCTGAAGCATGCTTCTAATCCAACCTACCTTGGAGTGACCCTTGACCGGACCCTATCCTTCAAGGAACACCTAAAAGGGACGGCAGCTATGGTTAAGACAAGGAAAAACATGCTCTGCAAGCTCGCTGGTGCAACCCCCCCCCAATATATGACGAGAAGCAGTCATTCACAAGATGCTTCAAAAGGTCAAAAACTCTCCCCATTTACCAATCCATGCAGACATCTACAACCCACCCACTGCTCGACTTACGTCTAGACGACCAATTTGGAAGAACATCCCACCAGCTGACTTCACCATCCAATTGGCTTGGAAAATGGAATGGGAGTCCAAGGAGGTCCCAAACAAACATCTGGTGCCAGACCCCAACCGGGTCTGGCACCAGATGTTTGACCAACAGGNCGA